GACGATCATGATGCGGATGGTGAGGATGATGATGTGATGATCATTATCATCATCGTGATTGATGGCCCATGGGATAGGAACCTCATTATTTTCTTCGTTGCCAAGTAGTTTTGATGGGTTGAATTAGCCCAAAGGCAAATTTGTGAGTTGTCATGTACACACTCAATTATCAATTATTCTTTTCCCATTTCAACAAATTAATTAAAAGTTTTAACATTTTTGGTCAACAATACAATTAGATGGAACCCATAACAATAATAAAATCATGATTTAGAGAATTATTTTAAATTCATTATTATAATTATAGAATTTTAAGACTCTGTTTGTTGGTGGTAAATGATAATCAATTCATTATTATAATTAATGTATAGTATTTGTTTCAACTTTTAACATGATGGGATGGTAGCAGACAGTATCCGACTGCTAAATTTGTGATGAATTTTAAAAACTATAAAATTGGTAGTATTTGACGGGCAAATAATTTTTTTTCTCGTTATACCCTCATAAAATATGTTTAATTTTCGTTATACCATTTTAAATAAATACCCTATTTCCCTTCTCCTTTCTTCATTCATGCCGGAGGCAGGGAGAACGATTGCTCTACTTTTTCTTCTTCTTGTTCTTCTTCTTCGATCGCTTTCAAATGTTGGGTCTTTGCTTCTATTTTTTATTTGTGTTCTTCACCTTCTCGATCAGTAAATATTTTATTTCTTTTTTCTTTGATTTTAACCTATTTTCTTATCAATATTCTGTGATTTATTTTGTTATCAATATTCTGTGATTTTTTCCCTTACTTCTATGTCGCATGTTTATCTCAGCTTACTATTTCTTTCATACTATTATAGTATTCTCCTTTTTTAGGGTCGTTTGGTGATTATTTAATCAGGTATATCCTTACTGTTTACATAGGAAGTGGATGTAAAATTGGGGGCCATTTTGGGTACTGTGCAAGTATTTAACGGAGGGTTTTAAGGCTTGATGATGTTATTTTATACTTTCTTTCTCTTTCTTTCTTTGTTTTTACTTCATATTTTAAGGTGATGTTTGCATGATATTTGAAGTAGGAAATGTGTTACTTGTTGTGCAAGAAATAAACAAATAGAGATTTTTTTAGGCTTTTGCATTTAGTGTTTAGTCATCATGTGTGGGGCTGTATAGTGTTGCTTGAACCAGAAAGTTGGTTTGCTATTTAATGGTTGGGGAAGATAAAATAAATGAGAAAAGATGGACTATCTTAAGTCTACTGTTTTGATCTGTTCATTTAGGAGTTTTTTTTTTTTCTTGTGTTAAAACCAAGAAATAATGTTGTTTAGAATGAAATTAATGAGGAAAACTTGGCTTTTGTTTGGTCTTTGGTCTCCAGATTTAGGAACTTTTTCAGTGGTTTAAAGTAGAAAATTAATGTGTTGCTTGTTGTGTGGAATGAAGTAACTGGAGAGTGTTTTGTGCTTTTTACATGTATTATTTCATCTATACATTGGAGGACATCTTGGTGTTGGTTAAACTGCAAAAATGATGATGTATTACTTGTGGTCCAGAAGCAAAATAAATAGAAAAACATGGACTAATTTAAATTTTAAATCAAGACTAATGGGTAAAAGTTCTGAAGGCTTAAATAAAGATTAAATCATGGTCACCATATAGCCTTTAGTGGACTTTTTGCATGAATTAACATTATCCTAAGTTG